ACCTCTAGTCGCAGCTCACAAGTTGCAGAGCCATAAGAGAAGAACAGCTCAAAACTCAAAATAATGGGGGGGGGGGGAGAGAGAAAAACTATGCTGTGACATGGTCTGAGTGACTGCCTGTGAGATGCTCTGGCTTTAACCACAGTATATAATAAGCTATGACCAACATTAATTATGGATACTGCACAAGTCCAGGCCTTTATCACAGGGCTGGAAAAGTCACTATTCAGAAAGATGCAGAGCTGTGAAACACTCAATTTCTCAGTGGATTTTTTTTTTTTAAAGAATCCATTCACACAGCCTTCCTGAACCTTGGGTCCCCAAAAGATAAAAGGTAAAGGTACCCCTGCCCGTACGGGCCAGTCTTGCCAGACTCTAGGGTTGTGCGCTCATCTCACTCTATAGGCCGGGAGCCAGCGCTGTCCGGAGACACTTCCGGGTCACGTGGCCAGCGTGACAAATCTGCATCTGGCGAGCCAGCGCAGCACACCTTCCCGCTAGTAAGCGGTCCCTATTTATCTACTTGCACCCGGGGTGCTTTCGAACTGCTAGGTTGGCAGGCGCTCGGACCAAACGATGGGAGCGCACCCCGCCGCGGGGATTCGAACCGCCTTCCTTTTGATCGGCAAGTCCTAAGCGCTGAGGCTTTTACCCACAGCGCCACCCGTGTCCCCAAAAGATGTTGGGCCATAATTCCCTGCCACCACAAAACTACCGTATTAAAAGTCAGCAAGAGCCACGTGCTCTTTAAAGGGTGTGCAGCTCCTGCGGGCTTTTCTACGATATGGTGACGGGCTGCCCTTCTCCCTCCTTGGGGGAAAAGCCCCCAAGAGCCGCACACATGCTCCACGCGGCTCGTGAAAGGGAGTGCGGCTCTAGGGGGCTTTTCTGGGAGGTGGGGGAAGGGACTGAGGGGCTGCCCCGTCCCTTCCCCCACCTCCCGCAAAAGCCCGCAAGAGCCGCATGCTCTTTAAAGGGTGTGCAGCTCTTGGGGGCTTTTCCCCAAGGAGGGAGAAGGGACTGACTGGCCGTGTCAGTCCCTCCTCCCTCCTCGGGGAAAAGCCCGCAAGAGCCGTGCGCTCTTTAAAGGGCGTGCGGCTCCTGCGGGCTTTTCCCCGAGGTGGGGGAAGGACAGCCCATCAGTGAGGGGCTGCCCTTCTCCCTCCTCAGGGAAAAGCCCGCAAGAGCCGCGTGGAGCATGTGTGCGGCTCCTAGGGGCTTTTCCCGCCTGCATTCGTTCCATAAGACGCACACACATTTCCCCTTACTTTTTAGGAGGGATAAAGTGTGTCTTATGGAGCGAAAAATACGGTATTTGCATCCCTTCAAAAGGCTACACAGGAGGTTTACAAAGCTCCCTATCTTCCAGAATCTGCATCTATGCTTTCAAGGACAGCAATGATAATCTGCACCGTCAGCTTTTCTTAGCTCCCTGAGATTGATTTCGGGACGGTCATCTTGGGAGGGTTCCGACAAGTTTTGCTATTTATTGTCCTGCTGCAATAAGGAGACAAAGTAGTAGCAGCCTCATGTCACTTCTCTTCACCGCTGCACAGAATGAGTGGCTATGCAATAGAGAGAGCACATTACATCATGATTCAGTGGTACTTCCCAAAAGATGAACATTTATCCAAAGGGGAAAACAATCTGAGTGCAGAAAGTGGATTAATTAACTGGAAGCAAAGTGCAATTTCAGATTGCTGGCAAGCAAGATGCATTCTCAGTCAAGGCAAAAATGAACAACTGGCTTTACTCAGGTCGCCTCTAGAGAAGAGCAAGCATACAATGCGCAGAGGCTGGAGAAATTTATTTTCAAGCATATGGAAAACATTTGTGAATTGTAATGAGGCTCTGGAGTTAAGGTAACGTTACATTACATCGCAGAGATGCCTCCTAAAGGGGAACTTCATCTTTGGAAAACACAAAGAGCATAATTCAGCCACAGTAAAGACCTTTTAGCTCCCTTTGATTTCATTGGGGGGGGGGAGGAGAAGGGAGAGAGTTAAGTGCATAGTAAACATTCACTGGAAATCAATAGGGCTCATATATGTGCATTGACTTTACCATCTTCCAAATAAACAAAAAGCTTGTTGCCGTTTCTGGAGATATTGAGGTCTTTGTTCTTGGGCTGATTCAGGAAGAGAGCACCATCTCTGCACAGACTGCAAATTGCGTTTTAGGGGGGGGGGCAAAGATATACACAGCTGATGTTTTAAGCAGGACAGACCTGATACAGATGTACGAAGGTATCTTTGCTGAATAATTTGCTATTAAATAGTATGCCATTCCAGCTCTCCTACAGCAAACTGCCCCCCCTTCCATTCTTCCCTCTCCATCACAGAATCTATAAATCACTTCTGGCAGGTAGCTGGGAAGCAGCTGCTAATGATAGTTTTGCTCTGGAGGAGAGGAAGTCACCTTTTAACCCTGCCTGCTGTTGTTTGTCTTATAACTATGACAAAAGAACGGAGGAAAACAACATGCCAACTGTCACGGAGGATCTGGTCACACGCTACAGGAAGCCCATTTCAGGCCCTCAACATTATCAAGCCTTTCAGCCTGAGGATGTTCGTCCTCTCTAAACAAAAAGATTCGACTGCATGGGTCCCGGTCCTCGTCCCCTCTCCCCCCAAACTATCTCCACTATTTTCTTCTCATGCAAAAAGAAAAGTTCAGCAATACATTAGAGAGGCAGTCATGGTTTCCCACTGAAACAGAAATGTCAAAGAAGTCTGTTCTTTCAACTTTCATCTCCTTATTTTAAAAATCTACAGATACTTTCCGCAGTCCCCTCATCTGCTTACATGACGGCAACCAGATTTTACACTGCTCAGTAAGAACAGACTTGGTCACACAAGAGGGTTTTTTTTTGCTTATGGACCGGACTGAGACTCTGCCTCCCCAGTGCACACATCTGTTCTGTTGTGACAACTCTGCTTCAGCCAGCAAGAAGGTCTGAAACAGGGTATTGCAGAGGTGGCTCTGCTGGATCCAAAGTTTGTTGGCTCACCTGACAGGGCCCTGGACTGGATCCCTAAACTGTGGCTGCCTGGAGATGGCATAGTTATCGCTAGCCCTCTAGGATGCAAAGAACTGAACAGCAAGTCCCTGTTTCAGTTACTTAGCGGAAAAGCAATAAACAAAAATAGGGGCGGCATTATTATGATTTTTAACATGCACAGTATTTTACAGAGTACAGTCGTACCTCATGTTACATTTGCTTCAGGTTGCGCATTTTCAGGTTGCGTCCTGCGGTGACCCGGAAGTACCAGAAAGGGTTACTTCCGGGTTCTGCCACTCACGCATGCGCAGACGCGCAAAATGACGTCACGCGCATGCGCAGAAGTGGCGAACCGCGACCCTCGCGTACACAGACGCAGGTTGCGTTCTTTTCAGGTTGCGAACGGGCCTCAGGAATGGATCCTGTTCGCAACCAGAGGTACCACTGTGCAAGGCACTTACAGTCTAAAAATTGCCACTGGGAAATCTGAGGAAGAGGGAAGTACAGGAATGTTTTGTTGTTGCAGTTTCAGGCTTAGGGAGTGATCCTTAATCTTTTATGCCCTTGTCACTTCCAGGCTGGGTTATTGTAATAAACTGTATGTATGGGTTTGTCCTTGAAGACAGTCCCCAAGCTTCGGTTGGTTCAGAATGCTGCAGCCGGACATCGCATCGTGCCAATTTTGTTCCGGCTTCATTGGCTACCTATTTGTCCTGGGCTGATTTCAAGGCGCTGGCTTTGGCCTTGGGACGAAATGGCCCTGGGACCAGTGTCTCTCAAGAATCACCTCTTCCAGTATAAACTTGCTCAAGACCTGTGCTCTGTTTCTGAGGCCTTCCTTGTTGCCTATTCACCAACGAAATGCATGGCTTGTGAAGTCAAGAGGGGGGGAACGTTCCAGCTCTGGCGGTCCCAGGAATAATTTATCCTGCTCCACTTCTGCCCTTTCTTAAAAAGCCTTTGGATCAGGAGCATTGTTTCTATCAGAACTTGTGCAGGTCTATACTAATGATGCTGTGTGTTTATAGTTAGTACTGTATTTTAGCTTGCTCATTGATAATGTACCGTATTTTTCGCACCATAGGACGCACTTTTTCCCTCCTAAAAAGCAAGGGAAAATGTGTGTGCGTCCTATGGAGCGAATGCAGGCTTTCGCTGAAGCCTGAAGAGCGAGAGGGGTCGGTGCGCACCGACCCCTCTCGCTCTCCAGGCTTCAGGAAGCTCTGTGCAACCCTCGGGAGACCGCGCCACTTTGCGCCCGCCTCCCGAGGGTTGCGCAGAGCTGCCTGCAGTCCCGGGGGCGAGCACAGCTCTGCGCAGCCAACGGGAGCAGGTCGCGAAGTAGTGCCTGCCTCCCGATGGCTGCGCAGAGCAGCCTGCAGTCCCGGGGGCGAGCGCAGCTCTGCGCAGCCATCAGGAGCGGGGCACGAAGTTGCGCCCGCCTCCCGATGGCTGCCCAGAGCTGCCTGCTGTCCCGGGGGGAGCGCAGCTCTGCGCAGCCATCCGGAGCCGGGCGCATAGTTGCGCCTGCCTCCCGATGGCTGCGCAGAGCTGCCTGCATTCCGAAGTCTGGGGAGATCAGCACTACTTCCCGCTGGCCTCCCTAGGCTTGCGGATAGCAGGCTGTTCTCGGGGCTGGGATTGGGGGAAGCTCGGGCTTCCCCCGCGCCAGCCACGCACCTGGGGGGAATAATTTTTTTTCTTTATTTCCCCCCCCAAAAAACTAGGTGCGCCCTATGGTGCGAAAAATACGGTAATTTATTTTTTTTGGTAACGTAGTCTTGAGTATGATTTTTCACAGAAGGGTGGGAAAAGAGGTGCTGAAATAACAGAACAAAGAAATACCTGTTCACATCAAATTTTGCCAGAGCCTCTTTGGACTCTGAGAATATCTTTCATTGTACTGATAGCAACCAGTCAGACACACGACAGCCTTTAGTGGAGAGCAACAAAGCCAGTCAGAGGATATAAAGAGCAATTCCTATTGAGAGGTACTTACTGTAAAGACATCGTCATCTCCAACTTCAGTCTCATTGTGGATTGTTGAGGACGAAGTTGTAGATCCTGAAAAGACATTTTAAAACGTACACTGTTTCTGTATGTAATCATCACAACCCACAACAAGCCAATTGACGCTGGTGCAAAGCTGTGCACATGCACAACTAGGGAATTTGCTTCGTTTTTGGCACAGAAGTGTCTTATAAGTTATATATAAAAACTTGCCCATGTTTCAAAGGCCAACTGGAGATGAGGGATGGTGGAAGGTATGCTCCAGAAAATAGAAGAAAAGGGGAAAAAAACTAAACAAAGAGCCCAGCTGCATGCTTAGAACGGACGTATATGTTCTCCTGGACTGTGGCCAATGTTTTTTCCCCTGCTTGTTTTCACAGAAGCAATTAATTTTATCTGAATATTCTTGGCAAGATCCAAAACACGTATTTGAAAATGGTAAAGGAAATTGTGTCAAAATAAGGGATAGTTATTCTATGTGGGTAAGAGAAGTAACTAAGAAAAAACTGCTTCTACAAATTTAAGGTTAGTTTTTTAAATTGCTTAATCTGGTAGCATAAAATCCCAAACAATTCATTCAAGACAAACAACGATTAAGGCTGAAGTCACAGAAAGCTGCTTAAGAAGTAATGTGCTAGAATCATTTGAAACTTCATTCAATATGAGACTTTGTGAGTCAATTAATATTGTATTCATTTGTGGATTATTAGCTTCAAATATATTAACTCCTAGATCTTACAGAGATTGAAAGCTGAATAACTTGAATCACACCCTCCCTAAGAAATTGAAAGCTGACACAAAAGACTAAGATTTTGATTTAAGGAGTAGCTCATTTCAGTGAAAAATGTGTGAAATTCAGTCTTCAAGTTATGAAAACAACAACAAAGCGACTTAGAAACAAAAAACAGAGTCCCTGGATGCTGGTTACCTTCCATGAGATCTTCAATGGCTTTTCTCACACCTCTATCAAATGCTCGCGCATCAGCGGGGCTTAGAAAAGTGAGCCCAAACTTTCTGTTGTCGACCTTCCAGTGATGAAATGTAGGGTTTGCTTTAGTGTAGACCAAGTCCTTCTTCACATAGCATTCCAATACCACCTGGGGTTCAAAATGGAAAGAGGTAAAAGGATGTTAACAAGTGAAGGCCGTGGGTTTGTTACTTTGGTTCATTACTGCCTCTCGCATCATGAAAACATGTCTAGTCTCTATGCAATTGCTTTGGTGAGAGAAGCTCTCTTCACAGAATAGGTCAGCAAAAATAGCTTTGCAAGTGAAACCAAAATGTTTCAAACAGTTCCCGCTGGAATGACAAAGGAACACCATTACATTATACAGAGCCATAGCTGGGGTACGTGGTGGGGGCTAGCTAGGTGTTTTGTCCCAGGTGAAGCCTCCAGAGGGGCACCATTGAGCCTCCCAGCTTGTAAAACGTAAAGGTAAAGGAGCCCTGACCATTAGGTCCAGTCTGGGGTTGCGCCGCTCATCTCGCTTTACAGGCCAAGGGAGCCAGTGTTTGTCTGCAGACAGTTTTTCAGGGTCATGCGGCCAGCATGACTAAGCCACTTCTGGTGCAACGGAACACCAAAACCAGAGCAGTGCACGGAAATGCCGTTTACCTTCCCACCGGAGCGGTACCTATTTATCTACTTGCACTTTGACGTGCTTTCGAAACTGCTAGGTGGGCAGGAGCAGGGGCCGAGCAATGGGAGCTCACCCCGTCGCGGAGATTCGAACCGCCAACCTTCCAATTGGCAAGCTCTAGGCTCAGTGGTTTAGACCACAGCACCACCCGTGTTGTGTATGCAAATGTGCATGGGGAGGGTACCAAACTGGGTCGTGGACCTGGGTGAAATGAAGCCTAGTTTTGCCCCTGACATTATACACTACCATTGCACACCTGGGCCAAACAGATTCCAAAATTTAACCAGAGCTACCCAACTCCCTCTGCAAAATGTGCACCTTTGTCTTGCTTAGCATAAAAACCAAGAAGTCACCCTAGTAGACAAATGTAACAATAAAGTACAATTCTAGTACCGTTAATAAGGATATGCAAATTTTGTGCATAATGAAATCAAATATATGCAGATAACGCACACACACTCTAACTGCCCCATGGCAAACTAACTTGTCACACCCTGCCCCTTATTCTGCCTTCTTCTGTAGTGAGCGGCTTGCCTCATTTCTTTGATTCAATTGCAAATATTGAAAGAGAAAATGTGGTGCAGTGGATACTGAATTGCAAGTTGGATGGGGAGACTTTGGTTCCAATCTCCACTTGGCACAGGGTTGCTATGAGGATTAAATGGCAGCGACCCCACGTACAGGGGCTCCAAGCTTCTTGGAGATTACAAAAAAGTGTGTTCTGCAAGCGTGTTGGTACTATGGATGCACCCTGTTAAGTTTCTGGTTATGGGACATTTTATTGTTTTTAATTTGATGTGCCTATGGAGGGAGAGCCGCTGTTGTATTCTCAGTAGCCAGCCTTTTATCAAACAGTGGTAGGTGTATTTATCATATTTCACAGCCCAAACCCCTTCTATGAAGTCAGGATGTATAATAAAGATAGGAGTAAGAGGTCGGGGTTATAGGGCACATTCTTAGATGTGGCCAGATATATACATACTAATAGTGAACCAGTTCTCCAGAAGTAGCCAGAACACCACCATCTATGCACAAGAGAGGGGGGGAGGTTTTTATCACCCCAAATTTCTGCAGAATGACCAAAAAACCCTAGACAGAGAAGGACAAAATAAGGACTGAGCATGCTCCCTGGGCATGGAGCACTGAGTGTCTGGGTGAGGAAAGAGGATGGAATGGAGTGTCGTGGAGAAGAGAATGGCTGGCCAAAATTCAGAACAAGGGCACGCCGTATACTGCAACATTTTGTTGCAGATCCAACTTTTATCACATAAAGCCAAAATGTGTTTAAGTGATGTTGGGCCAACAACTTCTGAAAACAAGAATTTGGTAAGGATTTATGTCACAGGTCATCCGCTGGCCATCGCTGGTTGGGCTAAATCTGTAGGTGGAACCTACATCTGGTAGCTAGCTGATTCGTTCTTGCAGCTTCATGATTTAAATGTGAATTCCCCCCCCCTTCCCGTTTTATTTTGTGCAAAGAATCAGGAACTCTTGGTTCTATAAACAGCCATGGTAAGGAGCAAAGTGTCAATCAGCAAGATAAATTACCCTCGCATTTTTGCTTTGCCAGCCTATACCTCAAGCAGAAGGTAGCATAAATAATTCATTGCCATTTTAAAAGCTTGAATTACTCAGTACAACGTGACTGGCTTTTTCTATTCTTTATTCTACAATCTGCGATGCTACAGGATTTTGGCAGGGTGGAGGAAAAGTGTCAGTTTCACTTCTTTGAATAAGAAGGTGTTAGCTACATAAAAATGGAGGTTTTAAAACATTAATGTGCGGCTGCTATTTTGGGGAGAACATAGATTGTGTTCCTTTGAAGTAGGAGGAGGGGTTTCTGCCTGATGGGTCATGCATGATCTTGTGAAATGCTAAGAAAGCTGTGGAGGCGGGGGAATGAAGGGGAAGCAAATACGGAATTAGATTAAATTACCAGCTTGTCTTTTTGCCTTTCTCCGTGGATCAGAAACCCACTTCTTCCATTGCCCTCTGAGCACATGACCTTGCAGACACCAACTCTACTGAGACCGCCTCCTTCTTGCGGCAACCATCCTCCACTTGAGTCATCTCGGGTCATAACCACAGCTTTGACTCTCACAATATAGCTGTCACTGAAACAGACAACAAGAACAAGGGACCGTTAGATCAGGCAGCGCAGTTCACAAATATTAGCATCCACTTATCAGAATCCACGGGGGTAAAACCAGCCAGCTTCCGCAGATGAAGTGCTCTCTGATATAATAGAGAGATACCAGGACCCTCTCATGCTCCAATAAGCCAAAGTGGTTGATTCATACACACAGTGGCGTAGCGTGGGTTGTCAGCACCCGGGGCAAGGCAAGTAATTTGCGCCCCCTAACCCGTGGATTTTAGCACCCTAACCCGTGGATTTTAGCACTGCGAGTGCGCCCCCCCAGATGTTGCACCCGGTGCGGCCGGGCCCCCCCTGCACGCTACGCCACTGCATACACATGAAGGGAAGTTCTTACTCTGTGAAGGGGAAATGAAAATCTCAAATATTTTGGTTTTGAATAATCAAGAGTTTGTCTTCAGAAATTGGTGTGTGCAGTGAAAGTGTTCCATTTCCATGTTTCATTCTGAAACATTATTTTTAATCTTACACATACATTTTGGAGGTAATAATGTATTGCCCACAAAAGCTCGTGCCACAAAAATAAGCCTGTGTTTCCACAGTCTTGTTGTGGCAGCTTAGGCAGATGTGAACTTTTTGGGTTAAGAATCAACTGGTGGCAATTGGAAATATGTAATTAATCTGAGGGGATTATGAAGGAACAATTTGACTAGAGGCTGAGTTGGAGCAACAAGAAGCCTTGTGCCATAAGTTCTAGGGTCACCATAGGTTCTAAGTGCATCCATCCACTAGTCTGCTTCCCTTCCCCCCCTGACTGGATTACTGCGCCCAGTAGAGTCACAACTCAGCAGTCGTAAAAGACAATTGAACTTTGGAACGTGGAATATACGGACTTTGTTGGATAACACAGATAATGAGCATCCTGACCGCAGAACTGCCATCATTGCAAGAGAGTTGCAACACATTAACATCGATATTGCAGCACTTCAAGAAACTCGAAGAGCAGGAGAGGGACAACTGAAGGAAGAAAAAGGAGGCTACACATTCTTCTAGAAAGAGAACGTTGAATACATGGAGTAGGCTTTGCTATCAAAAACAATCTTGTGAAGCTCCTGTCAGAAGTCCCTACAGGCATTAATGAGCGACTTTCAACCCTTCAAATAAAACTCGCCAAAAACCAGAAGGCCACTATTCTAAGAGCTTATGCACCAACACTGGATGCCAATGGAGACATTTTTTACTCTCAGCTGGATACCATCCTATCAGAGATTCCAAAGGAGGATAAAATTATCCTCCTGGGTGATTTTAATGCAAGAATTGGGTGAGATTTCGAAAAGAAGGAATTGGCAACAGCAACCAGAACAAATTCTTACTTTTGACTGTATGTGCAGTGAACAACCTTGTTATTGCCAAAATACTCTTTCAACAAAAGAATAAATTTAGAACATCATGGAGGCATCCTCAGTTGAACCACTGGGACCTCTTAGACTATGTTATTGTCCGTGCTAAAGACCGTCATGATGTGCTCCCTACCAGAGCTATGACAAGTGCCAACGACTGCTGGACAGATCACAGATTAAGATGTTCCATGATGGCTATCAAGATTATACCTCAATGCAGGCTTCAGAAGGAAACCAAGGCACAAAATGAACACTCAAGCCCTTCAAGATCCTATTAAGCGGGACTGCTTCCAAACGACTCTTAAGGACCATCTGCTTTCAGAATTCCCTGAAAACATGGAGGAACACTGGATCAAGCTAAAAACATCCATTACTGCAATCTGTGAACAAACTATTGGATACCAAACCAAGAAACACCAGGACAGGTTTGATGAGAATGACAGTGAGATTGAATGCATTATTGACAAGAAAAGGCCTTTCAGATCTGGCAAAGAGAAAGAAACTGCACCACTATGAAGAAAATCTAAGCCAACGCTAAGGCTGAGGTTCAAAGAAGAACCAGAGAACTAAAGAACACCTGGTAGATAAAAAAAGCTCAAGAGATCCAGCACTTAGCAAACACTCATGATGCACAGAGTTTCTTTAAAGCCACAAAGACCATCTATGGGCCAATAAACATGGCATATACCCCCTACGCTCAACCAATGGTACCACACTTCTAAAAGAAAAAGAAACCATTGCACTGCGCTGGAAAGAACATTACCAGCATCTCCTTAACTGCAACTCCCCCATAGCTGCTGAGGTCCTCTCACAAATTCCGCAAAAACAAATCAGAGATGAGCTTGCAGTACCTCCAAATTTGGGAGAATTGTGTACAGCTATTAACCAAATGAAAAACTACAAAGCCAGCGGACCTGTTGGGATACCTGCCGAAGTCTTCAAAGTGGACGGAACTGAACTTACACAACAAATTCACAAGCTCATTGAAAAAAATCTGGGAAAGAGAAGAAATCCCAGCAGACTTTAGAGATGCCAAATTTATCAATCTCTTTTTAAAAAGGCGATAGAACAGATTGTGGAAATTATCAAGGCATCTCTTTATTAGATGCGTCCAGCAAAACTCTTACAAGGATCTTAGCAGACTGTCTTCTAACAATATCCAAGGCTACACTTCCTGGATCCCAAAATGGTTTCTGACCTTCTAGGGGGACAGTGGACATGACAGTCACCATTCACCAGCTTCAAGAAAAATGCAGAGCGCAAAACCAACCCCTGTATACGGCGTTTATTGACCTGACTAAGGCCTTCAACACTGTAAATCGTAGTGTCCTGTAGACCATCCTTCTGGAAATTGGCTGCCCAGATAAATTTATGAACATCCTTTGACTCCTCCATGACAATATAACAGTAACCATTCACAGTGGGATCAGGCGTTAAACAGGGTTGTGTTATTGCCCCAGCTCTATTATTTTCAGTGCCATGATCCTACACTTTGTCGAAGGGAAAATCTCCACTGGAGTAGAAATCATATATTGAACAGATGGAATCTGAGTAGGCTGAAAGTAAAGAGTATGGCTACCATAATTTCTGTCATAGAGCTTCAGTATACTGATGACAATGTAGTGTGTGCTCACTCAGGTTGACCTCCAAACCACCCTAAATATTTTTGCAGAAGCTTAAGAAAAGCTTGGCCTATTGCTTAATATCCAAAAAATGAAAGTGCTGCAGTAACAAGCACAAAACAACCCCTCTGCAGTGCTACAAATCCAACTCAATGGTGTAATGTCGGGAAATGTTGGTCACTTCTCCTACCTGGACAGTTATCTCTCCACAAGGGATGGCATTGATGCCGAAATCCAGCATTGTCTGAGCTCTGTGAGTGCAGCTTTCTCCCAATTGAACTGCAGTGTGTTTGAGGACTGGGACATTTGCAGAGAAACCGAAATGCTTGTTTACAAAGCTATTGTACTACCAACCTTACTGTATGCTTGTGAAATATGGACCACTTATAAATGCCATCTCCAACTCCTTGAAAGATTCCATCAACGGTGACTGAAAATTTTTGCACATCACTTGGGAAGACAGGCAAACTAATACCATTGTACTGGAAGAAGCAAAGATCACCAGTGCTGAAGCCATAATTCTTCAACATCAACTTCGTTAGACTGATCATGTTATTCAGATGCCTGATTAACGTCTTCCAAAGCAACTACCCTATTCTGAACTTAAAACTGGAAAGCGTAATGCTGGTGGTCAACAAAAGAGGTTTAAAGACTCTCTCAAGGCAAATCTAAAAAAATGTATTCTTCAAATACAGTTGCAACTGTGTCTGACAGCCTTCCTCAGATAAATATCCATCCTGTCCCCTACTTGTGTGTGTAAGAAAAGAATACGGACATGAATAGTAATGGTAACTCCTTAATTCATGAGGTGAGAAGAAAATGGTAGGCAGGTAGGTGAAGACCAGCTCTGAACCTGCTCCAACTGGATTTCCCCTCTCATCGCAAGCTATTCGGTTATCAGTTATCAGTTACCCAGAAGGAGGCCAGAAGAAGGGCAGATGCAGGCAAGACCACCTCAGAACCCACCCCAGGGTTGCTCTACCATCAACTCCCCTGCTGGAAGGAGCCTGATGACATATTATTATTATTATTATTATTATTATTATTATTATTACTACCGCCATGACTTTTTCCCTGACTGGGACTCAAGCCAACTTACAGGTAAAAAGAAGAACAGCTAAAAACATAGGGAAATAACCATTAAAAACAATTAAACATTGGTTGAAATTATAGATGATAGATAGATGATAGATAGATAGATAGATAGATGATAGATAGATAGAATGACAGTTATACAGCTCATCAATTAAAACCATATAATCACAACAAAAACAGCATGGAACCAACCCTTTCATTAAATGCAGTCAGTTCCACAAAGCCTACTGGAACAAGGTCTTCACCTGCTGGCGAAAGGAAAACAATGAGGGAGCCAGTCTAGCTTCTCCAGGGACGGAGCAGCCACCAAGAAGGCCCTTCCCACATTCAAACTAAATTTGCCCGTGAGGCTGGCGGGTCTGAGAGAAGGGCCTCCGTCAAAGATCTCAAAACCGAGGCAGGTTTGAGGTGGTACATGACCCCAGTCAAGCTTGCAAAGATATATCATTCGCCAGATAACAAGTGTTGGAAATGTAAAGAGACTGAGGGAACATTCTTTCACCTTTGGTGGACGTGCCCAAGGGTCAAGGCTTTCTGGGAAATGATCTATAATGAATTGAAAAAGGTATTTAAATATACCTTCCCTAAGAAACCAGAGGCCTTTCTTCTGGGCATTGTTGGCCAAATGGTGCCAAAGAAGGACAGAACCTTGTTTATGTATGCGACAACTGCAGCAAGAATACTTATCGCAAAGCACTGGAAGACACAAGATTTGCCCGCTTTGGAAGAATGGCAGATGCAAGTGATAGACTACATGGAACTGGCAGAAATGACTAGCAGAATCCGAGACCTGGGAGAAGAGACAGTGGAAGAGGACTGGAAGAAATTTAAAGACTATTTACAAAGATATTGCAAATTGACTGAATGTTAAAATGATGCAGGAGATAAGGATAATATGGCAT